CTTTAAGGTTCCTTCTAACTCAAACCATTCTATGGTTCTATGATTGTTTGATTCATACCGTGAGTTAAAAATGCACATGTAAATTAATTAGTGGGGTTTTTGAAAGACTTTCATTTGGGAAATAACCTGAGAGAAAATAGAGGCACATGTAGAATTATTATTCATTCAAGTGAAGTGACAGAGGCTGTTAGAGGAACAATTGATTATTCATTGGCCCAGAGAAGAGATAATTTGAACAGGGCAGTGAGGAGAGGTGTCTTTGATTTGCCTTGCAGTGTTTGTGCATAAACATGGCTTTTAATATCCCTCCACGGCATTCTGTGTAGGTCTCTGAGTGCTGTCCCACTGCTGTTGATAGGTAATTAAATTCTGCCTGTTTCTCCTGCTGCTGGTTTGCATTCCATCTGGTACACTACCATGTAGAGCCAGCATCTTTTCACTATAGAGATTTATTTTATGAAATACCTATATAATCTGAAGGAGGGGAAGCTGAGAAGGATTCATGGAAAGGTTATAATCTAAATCTTCAACACCTCACCTCCACCCCAAATATCCAGTTTAACAGCTTTGTGTACTGCCTCTTTCATTAGACTGGAGAGAGATGCAATGCAAAACGTTGTGCTAAAAGTTTCAGAACAAAAGAAAAAAGATGTCTGTAACTTTAAAAGAAGATTTTGCAGTTCTGGTTTCTGGGAAGACTATATCTGACTTTAGTTTTGGGCTGTGAAGGAAAATCCCACTACAGTACAGTCTCTGAGGGCAGGTGATGGGATTTTCAAAGGTCCAGTAGAAACAGCCCATTATTGTAAGTTGTGTGAAGGGGGGTATGATAGGTGAAGCAGCAGTGATGGGAAGTGAGCTCCAATGCATTTCTCCCATGCTCTTTTTTGTTTTCACATTTTTCACCCACGGATTAAGCAATTCAGCTGTCTCGTATATGGTGCCGGCAGGTGAATAAAAAGTTTGTGAGCCAGATGATTGTCTCCCTGGTCTTCTGCTGGACCTCAGGAGCTCTTCTGTCCTTTCCTTCTGGTTTGCTTAATCCTGGAGAAGGAAGAAGAGCTGAAGTCAAAGCCAGACATTCTCAGAGAAAACCCATTAATTTTTCTGCTGCCTTTCCTGAGCTCAGGTTAGCCTTAGTAGCAACCTGGCTAGTGTTTCAGAGTAGGGTGAGCATGCAGGGCTGAGTCTTTCACACAAACATGTTAACACACAGGTAAGCACAAATGTAACCAATGTTAACTGGTTACAAGTAATTTTTATTTCTATTGTTGTTTGTAGGTCACTAGTAGCTAAGAGCAGATACTTAAAAAGTGGAATCCACTGATGAGAGCTATAGTTATTCACGAATTCCATCTCATTTATTTTTATTCATTATGTATGTTTCTAGGACTCAAATGCCAGAGTGGGATCAAGTCTGTAGGTCATCTTGTCTGGTGTCTGTACTGGTAGTGGTTAGCCATGCATCCCAAAGAAAACAGAGAAAACGTCCCCAGTTGATATAAGAGAATTTGAATTTATACCCTTTTCCCCACTTCAAGAAGTGTCTTTATAAACCCGGAAGTTAAGTGTTAAATTCCTTAAAAAGAAATCCTGTTAATGCTGGATGATCTTGCCTATTAATTCTGGATGATCTTACCTATTAAATTGTTCTCAGTTTATCTTAGAACTATGTAAAGGGCAACCTAACATCATCATCATCTAACTGAGCTCTACTCTCTGACAGTTTCTCTAAAAAACTCCTCTTACCATATTTTAACTAAACCCTCGAGTTTAATTAAGCATCTCCTTTTTTAAAAAAAAATAAAATTCTGAATGGTTTACAACTTGTTAAACATATTCAGCTGAAGAGCATCTTCCCTGCCCCTCATGCCTGCAAATCATGCCATATGAATATATTAGATCCAGTTAATAATGGCTGTAGAGGAAGTAGGGCACCCACCTTTGTACATCCACTATCCAAAATCTTACGTGTAAATCATTATGTTAAAATGTGGACCCTGCTCTTGGATTGTGAGCCTTTTTGAAACATATTTTCAAAAATTAGTTGTGAAAGGTACAGGACAAGTATCATCAAATTGTTGATAAAGGTCATGCCTTATGTTAGATATATTTTAGTATAAATTATTTTTGAAAGCCTAGACTTCTTTCAAAGATCAAATAGCGCCAACATCCTGATTATATTAACCAAACATCCATCTGAAGAAAACAAATTATGCAGGTGACTCAGAAAAGCTCTTACTCAAAACATACACTTTCTATTTTACATGCAGTAAAGGTCATTTTAAATTAACAAGCATTGAGATTTTTATGGAAGAATGATTGCTAATTCTAAGTGCATGATAGATTTCCTAAGTAATACATCTAAATTTTTATAGAATAATTCAATTGTGGTCTGCTTCTTATTTGTTGATTCACACAGATGCAGATATGCAATTCCTTTGGATTTTATACTGTGCACTTTTGAAACGTGTAAATTGGATCAGTGATGTTTGTAAGCAACTCATGCAGTACTGGAGAGTATACTTGAAAATATATGGGTTTGAATTTTAGAAAATAGTGAAATACAAGATGCAAATTAATCTTTTCAGGTTCTTAATCACCTGCATAAAAAGTTGAGAAACATGTCAAAGAAGTCAGAAGCATCCAAGAAAAAGGTAGACTGCTTTCATTACCAATATCTATTTGTTTACATTTTAGTTTTATGGCTAAGCTAATTTGGTATTATATTGCTTGTTGCCAAAGATGTAATGGAGAGAAGGAACTGAAATGAAATATTTAATCATGTATTCAGTGTCTCTCTCAACTTAGCAGGATTGGAATCTTTTATGCTCCAAGTTTTCCGTCGCAATGCATGAAGCCGTTACCCGAGATCCCCTTATTTTGAACTTCAGAGCATCTGAAATTTAGACATGTAGAGACAATCTGTCTCTAATATTACATGAGATTTTTTGCCTCACAGGCATTTTTCCTTGACTGACAAATATTTTTAAAAGTTTTTTTTTATTTATTTTTTTAACTAGCTGAATTTTTTAATGTTTTATGAAGAATTCCTAGATTATATGATGAGACTTTGAAACGAGGTTTGTTGCACTTCCTGATAGGAGCTTAATAAGACACTTTTAGTGACTCTGCAATTCTTCTATTGATTTTCCACAAAACGCTTTTTTCTCTTATGTTCAAGATTAAAGTTATAACTGTTTACAAGTAGAATCGTGAAAGGTTTTAAAAGTAGAATAAAAGCTTTGCATTTAGAAAAACATTTTAAAAATGTGTTTATATATTGAATTTGTCGGTTAATATAATATGGTTCTGATTTTTGAACAGATTTGACCACAGCAATCATTTGACTAACTTCTCAGTTTATGAATGTGGAGTTAGGAAAACCCTTTAGGCAAGAGCTCTTCATTTGAGCTGATCGCTATTACCATGTGGGCATGCAGACTCTCTGCAACGTAAATATGATATATATGGGCTCAACAGGAGATAAATAATCTATGACTTATGCATTCTCTATTTTTAAAAAAAAATCCTAGTCAATAAATTTCATTTCCTAGAATTATAAGCATTATGGCCCTGATGCCATAAAATACTTAACATACACACTTTTGCACTTAATGTCGTCAAGGCCAAAGGTGTAGTTTTCAAAGGCATTCTGTACATTGCCATCTCAACTCTTATCTAAATTATTCTCAAACTGGAAATATCTGTGTATTTCCTCCAAACAGTAACTCTTGAAAATTGCAAGTGAAAATCAGATCTGGCTAGGAACTAGCTTTCATCACTTCAAGGAAAAACATTACAGATATACCCAAGATTGCTTGGATCTATCAGGGTTCAGTAAACCAAGGGCAAAAAAAAAGCAGCCCCAAACTTTTTTTTCCTTAAAAAATAAGTTTCTGATCCTAAGGCCTAACTCATCTTTTTCAAAGCAACTGTGTTTTCACTAGTGTGCTGTCTGTTTCTGGTTACTGTATCTTTCCTTTCCTTCTACTGTTTTTTCAAGAATGCATTTCAGACTTAAGTATACATTTCTAGCTTTATTCAAACCTTTATAAGAATTTCAGTAGTAGAATCTTAAAATTAATTTGCTATAGGTGTGGAAAAAAGTTAATGAAAAATATATATGTGCCTAAACGCTATTTTTTGTGCTTTTTGGCCACAAAGCATCAATATTAATATAATGTTTTTCAGGTGGGTTTATTTGCTAATGAGAAACCCTAAGCAAGCTCTCATTAGGTAAATGAGAGCTGCCCTTTAGTGTTACCTTGATTGCAAGGCATAGTGATGTTAGGCTTTGAAGGAATAATGGGATTAAAGAGATGTTGTGAGGTTCCTCATGCAAAATTACTTATTCTGCAGATATGAAATACCTTAAGTAAAATAGTCACAAGAGATGCATGGTCAGCCTCTGCTTTCAGGTGCATCCATACAGTCTATGGAAAGTCAGTGATTTTCCTGGTGTAATTTTTTTTTAGAATTTTGAAAAAGCTGAAGTAATACGTCTCTTTTGAAGTAATTGTGCGTGTGGTATCCAAAGAATCTGTTTTCAGCTGGAATATTAACACATTGAAGGGATCAGAGAATGAACTGCTCTTGATTTATACTTCCTTGTTAGCACATATTCTCCTGATGAGTCCTGAAAGAGAAAATATTTGTATGGCTGTTTGTTAGTGGCAACTGATTTAAACTCCATAGGGCTAAGTAGAGGAATGGCTTGTGAAAACAGATGAATCCTTGAGACTAAACAAATTATATTTACTACAGACATAATGTCCTTTGGTTTCTGTTGTGAGATTTTGCTAACCAACAACAGTATCTGTCGTAAGTTATTTTGGGCTGTTGCCATAGAAAACAAACTTTTTTCTCTAAGTTTCTGTAAATTAAGCCACATTGTGATTAGGTAGGTCAGTGTGAATAATTACCAAGCATTAATCAATTCATGAGTTCAATAAACTAGCAAAAAGTAAATATTCTCTGTGCTGCAGTATTTATCACTCTGTGGCCACTGGGTCAGTTTTGCCTATGAAGAAGAGCCTAAGTGATCTGAAAGATTATGTTGCAAAGTGTTAATATAGTAATTATAACAGTCCGTAAAATGATATGCTTTGGAATTAATATTAGGCTTTTACTGGGAGAGTGATTTAGTTGAAAGAGGTACTTGTTAGAGGACTAGATATTAATTAGTTGAGCGACTGCAAAGCACTAACCGCTGTTTCTGAAGTAAGTGAAAGCTAAAGGAAACATTGACAGTCAAACTCCACTGTGCCCTGGCAGGATATCTTCAGCACCTGAAAGGTCTATACTGGCTTATTCTGTAGCTGCCTGGATGGATCTAATGAACCTGACGGCCTTTCTTCTCATAAATAACGAAAGTGAAGTCAGGAGGCAGCACTGAGGATGTCTTGTGTTCTGTTTTTCTGAATTCAGCATTTGGTGGTGAGCTTTGATTTACAGATTGGCTTTGACAATGTGCAGTCACCAGAAATTTCAAGCTCCTTGCTTTTCTCTTTTTTGCCCTAGTTGTATCCCAGAATGTTGTATGAATCCCCCTGTAGAAATGTTATGTTTGAAGGCGATACCTTCAAAAAAGCCCCTGCTCCTTTTGTGGACACTTGAGCACAGTGTTCATCTGACTGCTCTAAGCTCTTACACTAGCTGCCTTCAGGTATAATAGATCTCTCTTGAAATTTTGGTCAGAAATCCTTGTGCACTTTAGCAAAATATAGATCATAGATGTGGATGAGATTTCTCAAAGACCCATGTTATCCTGATTTTACATCAAGCTTATGCCCACCTCAGAAAAGGCTAGGCTCTTGCATAGGAAACCAGCAACGTCATTCTTTACCTTCGAGCAAAGTTATACGTTTGCCTTTTACTGTGGCGTTTTCAAGGCTAAGGTTCTCCTCGCAATAGTTCACTATGCAAGAGAAAGCCCATATAGGTAACAGAGTAAAATCAGTAATAAATATTTCAAAGTGCGTTCTCTCTCAGAATACCTTTTTTCCTCTCTAATAATGGTTTTGAAGCAGGTTTAATGCTGATTCTTCAAGTGCTCATCAGACATCTGTGTTTTCCTTTCCCTGTCTCAGACAGCACAGACTGTGTTGGTGGTGGTGGTGGTTTTTGGCATCTCCTGGCTGCCGCATCATGTCATCCATCTCTGGGTTGAATTTGGAGTTTTCCCACTGACTCCAGCCTCCTTTCTCTTCAGAGTGACTGCACACTGCCTGGCTTACAGCAATTCTTCTGTGAACCCGATTATATACGCATTTCTCTCTGAAAATTTTAGGAAGGCCTACAAACAAGTCTTCAAATGCCAGATAGGTAATGAGTCGCCTCTGGATGATGCTAAGGAAAATAAAAGTCGGATAGATACACCACCGTCTACCAACTGTACGCACGTGTGAACTTTGGAAAGTCCTGTATGTTGGCTCTTCATTTATGTGAACTAAACACCTAGAAAACAAAGCACAATCAGCTTTATCCTGGGTTTATCTTGATAAAGCTAATTGGTATTTAATGTACTGAAGTTGAGTTTGTAGCAAAAGTTTGTGAAACTGGTATGAAAGAAAACCAGGCTGATCTTTTGTGTCTTAGATAGCTTTGTCAAATGAAGCTCTTGGACTTTTACCAGATACTTGAGAAAAAAATGTTGGAGATGATATGTCTGTGTTCTTACTAACTAAGCATATGGTGTGTAAACATTCAAATATACAAGAAGGAAATGTTGATATGAACAAGTAACTTTCTGACATCTTACTCCATCAAATTGAAGAGGTGGCTAAATTTTCCGTCTTACAGAAAATAAATACCGTAGTACTATGATTTCAGAGAGGAAAACTTTTGTTCTGTCTCAGATTGTTTCGACAATGCCTTTTCTCTTTTTAAAGTATAGATGGGCTCTGATTCGGAGTTGAAATAACCTGTGTACAACTTGAGGCAATTGCTTTAGAGAGGAAATGCTCATTTTATCTGTTTAGCTGTCTTTTTAATGTAACATGCTGAGTAATGATGGACTTTTTTTCCACTTCATATGCCTGCCTTACTGTATACACAGAACTTTTGTGTACTCTCTGTAAGGTTTTGTTCATGGTCTGTATGTAGTTGTACCAAAATGAAGATTTGTGTCTGAGAGAAGCTTTTCTTCACGTGTTGCATGTGCCTCTGTGTGTGTATATTTTGTTAACTTTATAGCCTTTGAGATGGAGATACAGTTTTAAATGTGCAATATTGTCCTGGTTTTAGCTGGGATAATTTTCTTTCTAGTAGCTGGTATAGTGCTGTGTTTTGGATTTAGATGAGAATAATGTTGATAACACACTGATGTTCAAGTTGTTGCTAAGTAGTGCTTTACTAAGTCAAGGACTTTTCAGCTTCCTGTGCTCTGCTAGCAAGGAGATGCACAAGATACTGTGAGGGAACATAACCAGAACAGCTGACCCAAACTGGCCAATGAGATATTCCATACCATATGACGTCATGCTCAGTATCTAAACTGGGGACAGTTGGCTGGGGTTGTTGGGATTGCTGCTCAGGGACGGGATGGGCATCAGTCGGTGGGTGGTCAGCAATTGCACTGTGCATCCCTTGTTTTGTATATTCTGTTATTATTGTTATTATTTTATCTTTCCTCTGCTGTCCTATTAAACTGTCTTTATCTTAACCCACGAGTTCTACTTTTTTTTCCGATTCTCCTCCCGATCTCAGTGAGGCAGGGGAGGAGTGAGTGAGCAACTGCATGGTGCTTAGTTGCCAGCTGGGGTTAAATCATGACAAATCTATACATATTTTTAAAATAATATGTTCCATAAAGCAACTCTGGGCAATGCTTAAGTGTTTGAAAAGAGCATTCTCTTAAAAGTTGTAGGAGGGGCTTGATATCATGTAGCTCTAAATTGGAAAAATTCAAAAGGATGCATTTAAATCAATACAAAGTATATAAGGTTAGTGGTTCAATTCTGCAAATTCTTAAATAAGATGAGTAGTTTCAGCAATTTTATAAAAGTATGTAATATGTCTTTAAGTGGCAAATCACTAAAGAAGTAGTGGAAGGGCACTCAGTCCTTTGAGAAGGTTATTGTTAGTTGGAATAAGATATGCTTTTACCTTTTTTATTAATGACTCATAGACTCATAGAGTAAATTAAGTTGAAGCAACCTCCGGACATCCTCTCAAGGCAGGGCTACCCTCAGAGTTGGACTAATTTCTTGTCTAGGCAAATTTTGAACATTTCTAAGGATGGCAATTCAAAAATTTTGGGGGGGCAGTTGGTGCCAGTGCCGAATCACCCTCACTAAAATATTGTGAGGTTGATTGGGATCAACCCCAGTTGGGGTTTCCCTTGATGTAGCTTGTGACCATTGCCTTCTGTCCTTCTGCTGTGTGCTTAATCTTCTCTCTAACTAACTAATATGTGATTTAAGATGGCAATTAAATTTTCCCCCAGCTTCCTCTTCTGAAACAATGCATCACTCTCAGTCTCTCCTCATCTGTTGTGCTCCAGCTCCCTGGCCAGATTAGTGGCCTTCTGCCTTCCTCCGGTGTATCTATACCTCTCATGAACTGGGGTATTCAAAACTGAACAGTGTGTTCCAGGTGTGGCCTCACAAGCACTGAGTAGATTAATCGCTTCCCTTGGCTGATTCTTGCTAATACAGCCCAGGATTACAGTAATTTATTGCTGCAAGGGTATACTGCTGACTCATATTTAATCTCTGCTTTACCAGCACCCTCATATTCTTTTCTGCAGAATTGCACTGAGTCCTGGTCCAAGTTTCAGGATTTGGCTTTTGGCTTTGTTGAACTTCATGCATTTGGTAGTTTTTACTTACGTTCTTCTGGCTTATCAAGGGCTCTCTGAAAGGTAGCCCTGCTGTCCAGTGTATCCACCACTTCCCTGGTTTTGGTATCACGTGCAAACTTGCTGAGAGAGTCCTGCGCCCTTGTCTGGGTCTTTGAAGATGCTAAATAGTGTTGGCCAGATGGTCTGTCAGATTTTTGTCCACAAACTTGCTTTAAAAAAATAGTTCAAAGTTGTGGAACCACATCAACTATGAAGAGTTAGTTCACGTGAAAATGCCTACGTTTATGTGTTGGTATTGTTTGCTTGGAATCAGTAAAATAATATTGAAGACATGCAATGGCATGCATGCTGTTTGTGTCCATTCTGTCATATGAAGAGACAGTTTGGTGACGTTACTGGGAACATAAAATATATGAACAAACCCTCAATTGGAGAAGAAGAGTTTATCTGTGCAGGAAACCATTTCCTGGTTTAAGATTGAAGTTAGGAAGCTCATCCTAGAACAACGTTGAAGTTCCTTTGAGTTTTCAGATCCTCATCACCCACTAATCACTCAAATTATTAAAGCACTATCGGACTTCAGCTGAATTTGTAACATATTTGGAGATCTTACAGCTTTTAAAATTATTCTTTTCCTTTCAAAAAATTGCTTGTGATTTTATTACTTTGAATAAAAAATGACCATGTAAATTTGTAATTGTGTGAAGTTAACTATGGCACCAATCATTCTTACCCAGCTGGACTGAGTTGAGATAATGAACTAATTACTAATCAACTCAAGGTACCGATCCTGCCTACAAGAGGCAGGCCATTTCCTCCTGGCTGCGGAGGATGCAACAGTGTCCATGGTGCTGCAGCCCAGGCTGGTGAGCAACAACTGGTGACCCTGACGTGATACATCGGCCCTGGGAAGCCCCGACTCCCTCGCCGAGCCGAGAGCCCGAGCCAAAAGAGCCGGAGCCAGGAGCTCGAGCGAGAGTCCTTCAGAGAAGAAGGTAAAGCCGCAAGTCCCGACGTGGTATTCGCGGGAGGGAAGTGTGCTGGAGTTGGATGAATGGGCCGGGTCTCTGCTCACCCATAAAGCCTTTGTGAAAACAAAAAACGGTAAAACAAAAAGGGGGAATTATGGCACAAATCATTCTTACCCAGCTGGACTGAGTTGAGATAATGAACTAATTAGTAATCAACTAAAGGTATCTATCCTGCCTACAAGAGGCAGGCCATTTCCTCCTGGCTGTGGAGAATGCAACAGCGTCCCTGGTGCCACAGCCCAGGCTGGTGAGCAACAGTTAACATGCTGAGTTTATGTTTCATCTGGAAAAGGCCTTTTTTTTTTTCTTGATTGTACCTAATTTTAAAGCCAGGTGCTTGATGGTAATGGAGCTACATCTGTTTGAAATTTTAAGGATGAGGGGATGAGGAGAACTGCAGTAACAACCAGTTAGAAAGGCCCCACCTGGTTCCTGGTGGGCATCAGAAAAACTTCCACCTCACTTTTCAGAGAAACCTTAAGAAGCAGCTGACACATAGAATCATAGAATCATAGAATGGTTAGGGCTGGAAGGGACCTTCAAAGGTCATCTAGTCCAACCCCCCTGCAAGGACACACCAAGGCTCCATTTCCTCCCTAAAACACACTTCTATTGATCAGTGTCTCCAGCGTGGCTTTGACATACTTAGCTTTGACATGGAGATTGAGAATGTAAAACCAGTGTTAATGTATGCAGTGAACTGTGTCCAACCACTGAGCAGGTGGACAGTTGGGCAGGGATTTGTCGTGCCACAAAAATGTCTAATCTGGGCAGAAAATGAGGGAATGGGCACTAGTGATCCCTTACAACTGAATGTCTGCTTTCAATTTCTGAACTTGTTGGCAGGGATTGTTTCTGGTGGAGGGCGAAGCAAAAGTTTCCCATCACTTACTTGCCTAATATGCTTTTCTATATGTTTTTAACCAGAAAGGTTAATTTCAGTGTACACTGAAGTTAAAAGAAAAAAAGATTTTTCTGGCTAGGGCTGAATTTTCCACTCATAGGAAGATAAATAATCCCACTAAATTCCACCCTCTTATGTGAATTTGCAAATATTATTCTGTTCAAAACAAAACAGGTAACAGGAATGATTACTCAAATTCCTCTCCAACTAAAGCAAGATATGTGTGTGTAATTAAGCGAATACTTAAGTTTCTCTTAAATTATATTTCTCATAAATTGAGAAAATTGGAGAACCCCAACAAAAACTGTTCCTCACGTATATTTTTATAAACTCCCTGAATTTTTTTTTGTATGTATGCCACCAAAATGCTGCCTCTTTGTGCTGCTTCATCAGTGTCTCCTGAAGTTTTACACATATAATGCACTTCCAACATTGATGATAGAAGCAGCGTATCCCATCATATCAAGTGCTAGGAGTTGTTCAGTCCATCTTAAAACTGTGTTTTAGTGGAGAAACATAGAAGTCTTTCCTTGTCATAGTTTTCTCTGCAGGGTGGATGAAAGACCCAGTGAAGCTTACACTTAATGGCAGCTTCTGAATTATCAAACTACACATAGTTTTCAATCAGCTATATATACTAAGCATTTATGCTATGCAATAATGTAAACATTCGGAATTGCCTAAAATTTCAA